GACAATAGTTTTTCTTTTACAAATTAAACCTTTTTTATAGTTAAAAAAATTTGAACAGTTGATCCATTAAATTCGAATGCAACTTTTGATAATACAACAGATTCTAATTTCTAAATCAACTTTTACAAAAAATTATTCATTCTCGATGAAAATCTATTTTAAGCATTTTTATGAGTTGGCATTGGCCTGTAAGCCATTTACTTCGAATTTCTATTATCAGCTAATCTAGATTTATTATGGTGATTTGCTAAATAAGTAAATTAGCTATTAATGGTGTAAAAACATTAAACAAACTTACCAAATTAGTTAAAAACACCAAGGAAAACCCCACTGATGACGCAATATTCGAATCTTTTGGTCTTTAATTTTCAAAATCCGAGGGATTTAAAAATAAAAAAATACAAACTTTAATAACAATAGAAAATTAGTTTCCTTTATATCTTGTCACGAGCGATTTTAATTCTATTTTAATAACAATACAATAAAATATCTTTCCACAGATATTTTGTTTGATTCGCTGTCATACAGCACATAAAGTAACCAATCCAAATCGAAAACATTTTACGCTATTATTAAAAGATAAAGGAATATATAAGGACTAGTTTGTAATTTATTTCCGAAACTTCAGAAAAAAAAAGACGTAAACTATATATAGCCGATTACTACCCTATTCAAAGATTCTTTTGTTTTTATACCCCTCAAAATCAAACAATAAACAGAGAGGAGTCGCCAATTTTTTTCTCTCATATTTTCTCGAGAAAAAGACAAAGCGATCCCAAAGGCGAGAAAATATCTGGAGAAAATGAGAGAAATCCTTCATATTCAAGGAGGTCAGTGTGGAAACCAGATCGGAGCTAAGTTCTGGGAAGTTACTTGCGGCGAACATGGCATAGATCACACCGGTCAGTACTGTGGCGATTCAGATCTACAGCTCGAAAGGATAAATGTCTATTACAACGAAGCTAGCGGAGGGAAGTACGTTCCTCGTGCTGTTCTTATGGATCTGGAGCCTGGAACTATGGATTCGCTCAGATCCGGGCCGTTTGGTCAGATTTTCCGGCCTGATAACTTCGTTTTTGGTCAGTCTGGTGCTGGGAATAACTGGGCGAAAGGTCATTACACGGAAGGAGCTGAGTTGATTGATTCTGTGCTTGATGTTGTGAGGAAGGAAGCTGAGAACTGTGATTGTCTTCAAGGTGAGAGAGATTACGCCATTCATTTCTCTCTAGGTTTTTGGTTTCTGAATCTAGAAATTCCTCGTTTGTGATTGTTTGATCTGTTAGGTGTACTTCTTCACGTATTCGTTCGAATCTAGATCTGCTATTAGCGTCTGATGTTCTTGGTTTAGATTTGTGAAATGCCATTTCTCTGATTGTGGAACAGGTTTTCAAGTTTGTCATTCTTTGGGAGGAGGAACTGGTTCTGGAATGGGAACGCTTCTTATTTCTAAGATCAGAGAGGAATATCCTGATCGTATGATGATGACCTTTTCGGTTTTCCCTTCTCCTAAGGTCTCTGACACTGTGGTTGAGCCATACAATGCTACGCTTTCTGTTCACCAGCTTGTTGAGAATGCTGACGAATGTATGGTTTTGGATAACGAAGCTCTTTACGATATCTGTTTCCGTACGTTGAAGCTTGCTAATCCTACATGTGAGTTTTAAAAACACCATTTCTCCTCTTTGTTTTCCAATATTCATGTAATTGTACCCTGACATTGTTCTTGTTTCTTCTGTGGTTCTGTAGTTGGCGATCTTAACCACCTCATCTCAGCTACCATGAGTGGTGTCACATGCTGTCTCAGGTTCCCTGGTCAATTGAACTCTGACCTTAGAAAACTCGCTGTGAATCTTATCCCTTTCCCACGGCTTCACTTCTTCATGGTTGGTTTCGCGCCATTGACATCGAGAGGGTCTCAACAATACAGTGCATTGAGTGTCCCTGAACTAACCCAGCAGATGTGGGATGCTAAAAACATGATGTGTGCAGCTGATCCCCGTCATGGCCGTTACTTGACTGCTTCTGCTGTTTTCCGTGGAAAGATGAGCACAAAAGAGGTTGATGAACAGATGATGAATGTCCAGAACAAGAACTCATCATACTTTGTTGAATGGATTCCAAACAACGTGAAATCAAGCGTCTGCGATATTGCTCCCACGGGTTTGAAAATGGCATCAACTTTCGTAGGAAACTCGACTTCGATCCAGGAAATGTTTAGGCGTGTGAGTGAACAGTTCACTGCTATGTTCAGGAGAAAAGCTTTCCTTCATTGGTACACAGGAGAAGGAATGGACGAGATGGAATTCACCGAAGCAGAGAGTAACATGAACGATCTTGTTGCAGAGTATCAGCAATATCAAGATGCTACAGTCGGTGAAGAAGAGTACGAGGAGGAG